GCAAAATTTTTTTCCACTCACACGTTGACTGCTTATTACCAAATGCACTTGAAAAAGCCTCAAGGGATAGAGCATTCGCCTCCCAATGAGGTGTACGAATACCGGCGGTGGCTGATTGATCTGAATTCAACTTCAGACTCAAACCCATAACTGTGCTGACTCAAAATATCATCAGGGGTAGATGGATCATAGGTAAGAGTACCCTTGTCATCAGACTAACCGTGGGACGTTTTCGTGGTTTTCCATGGCTACTTTGTCCCAATGCTTAATCCAAGAGCTCCCTTGTCTTCTGGGTTGGGTTCAAAATGACAAGGCTACGGAGCTGAACATTGATAGTCATAAACACAGAATTAGGTCGGCAGTTCAACGCTGGTTATAAATAAATACGATGCACTTTAATTCTTCTTTCACTCCGAAAATACTCAAAGATTGTCATCTATAAGATCTGTAGAATTAAAAGAATTGGCCAAAATAAGTTGTTGTTGTCGTCGGCCATTGAGGCAGCGGGGGAGCAACTGCTCTTGTTTTCTAGTGCTGCCATCTATGGCCAAAAATTCAACTTTTGCAACATCCGTACGACATACTCGTTTACAGGACGGCCCCACTCATTCAACCACATATCGTAATTTTGATCTGAACTAGAGAACGATCAATCTCCAAATCAATACCACCAGAGGCATTGATTTGTTATGGGAACATGGAAGACTTTGCGACCTGATAGATTTTACGTGCACCAATCACCATTTACTACACGGGGAATCTTCAGCCGGCTGGATTCGAACTCCCGTTCTCACAAACGTTCCTTGCCAACCAGACTATTCTGGCCGGCAGAATAAATTAATATTGTTAAGTTAAAATTAGAACTTTGCCGAAAATTCTTGACCATTTTTTTTTTTCAATTACACTTAGAATTTTGTCTCACTAATTTCTTCAACTGCGGAGCTGTAGTATAAGAAAAATATGCTAGGGATCTTTTATTAACATATGATATAATATGATTTCCTTGTTTCAGGTTAATGTTATGAATTACTGATAATATAGAAGATTTATTATTACATTAAAAGGCTTTGAATGAGACGCTTGGTTTCAGTATAGAAAGATGAATAGCAGACTGCTATTTTAGTAAAGTAAAAGTAGTAGTTCATTAACGTCGTTCTAGAGATGCATAATGAGTTATTGGCTATGTTCAGAACCTCCTTGAAAATGATCGGACTTGCCATCACAATCCACTGCTTAGGTGATAGTTACCTCCGCTTTGGTAGCCCGACGACCTGCGGGAGCAGTCGAGCACTTTATGGTAGAATGGTTCAACAAAGAGCAATACCGTGCACCTCTGTCTCTTCACAGGCTGATCAAAGTGGTCAAGCACCCGCTGTCTTTGAATCGTGCTTTACAGTCAGTTCACTGTGGAACCAATACATTTCAGAACTAGTTCTCTCAATTTCATTTAAATATCTCTTTTATAATGATCTCTCATTGAATTTTGAGTTCAACGAAAAGAACTGGGAAAAATTCTCCTTTATATGCGTTATGAATCATATCATATGGGGGAAGAAAAAAAACATCAAGTCAACAGCAATTTCGAAATTTTATTTTGCAATTTTTTAAACAGCCACAAAAGTTTTAAGAGATAGATACACTTAAGTCAAAGTGTATTAGCTTTTAAAGGGAATTTTCTAACCACTCTCTCCCACAATAAAATGATGGAAGGTGGTTGCTCTAAGAGGTTACCGTTATTGACTTCAAAATTGTTATCGAAGGTACATGATTTTTCGCAAACGATTTTAATTTTAGTTAGTGTCCTTTTCTAGGTGCGGAAATGCCACTTCTGTTGGTGTCATTAAAAGACGGATCCATGAATAAAATTTAGCGTCATTAAAAATAATCCCAATTAATATAATTATGTGCAAAAACAAATTTACCAATTATGAATGATAAAGTTATTTTAAATAAATAAACAATTATGTTTTTTGTTTAAGTTTGCATTTAATTTTATAACATAAAAAATATTTAGCTTTAAAAGGTGAGAAGAGGTTTGTGTAGAGATGTCTGTTTTTTCTAAAATAACTTTTTTCTTTCTAATTTAACTTTCAACTCTTAAAGTGAATCATTGATAGCATCATCTTTTGCAACTCTGTTTGCAACACGAGGTTGTATCGTCAAAAAGAGCTATCTAAATAAGAGCCTTTCACAAATAATTTGACTACATTTTAATCTACTTATTTGTTTTGCTAAATTTTTTGTGTTTATATTTTTTCATGTTTACTTATTTGACCTTCTCTGCATTTGGTGCAGGTGATTTCCCGGTTGCTGGGAGAGGTTTTAATGGTCTCTTTTAAAAGTTTTCTTCAACACAAATTCTATGAGAAAAATTACGTGTCTCCCAAAAGTTATCGTAAATAGAGGTGGTCCTTCCTGGAGATTTCATTGTACATTGATTATGTATTCAAAAATGGAATAAAAAATGAATTTTTCATGTGTGACTAAACTGGAACTTCCATTTCGAAAAATGAATAATGTGTAAATTTAATATATGAATGAAAGTTTAAACGAAATAAAAATGAAAATCTAAAAATATTACAGATACAGAATTTTGCAGACAATTACTTTATTTACTAGTGCAAATTTTGAAAAAAGAAAGTAATAATGGAAAAATTGAAATAATTTGTGTATGTTAAAATTGTTTATAATGTTTTAAGTAATAACAACTGGAATTTTAACCAAAATTTAATACAGACAAAACATCATTGTTTATGAAATAACCTTTTAACCAAATAACAAGGTACATGAAAAGATTAATCTAAGAAGTGGTGTTGATGTAACGACTTGTAGGGAAACTAATTAACATAAAAATTAATGAAAATATAAGATACAATAACTTCAAACAAAATAAAAGTTCAATATCTGTTTATTTTTTAAAGAAGGGTTTTTAAAAAATCAAAAACATATGCTAAAAACAGAATTATCATATATCGTGTCTAGTTGAATTCGACAATCAATTCATTCAAACAATACTAAACAAGTTTAACTAAATCATATTAAATTTATTTACGAAATTTAAATCCAAAAAGGCATGAAAATTAACAGCCACTTCAAAAAAATGCAAAATATCTGCAAAATTTACAAATATGAGATTTATAATATTTACACAACTTCAATTTGTCCTGAATCATTTCTACAAAATAAATTGTAAATATATTTTTTAGACAAAACAGAAAAGACATAATTTTCTAGTTGCTTTAAATAAATTTCATATATATATTTTAAACAGTTATTGATATAGTTAATCTATTTATGAATTCCAAGTCCAAAAAGGCATTTAAAATAACAATTTTAAAAGAATGTAGAATATCTCTAAAAAGTAATTAACACAAAATTTATAAATCTCACGTAGCTTGTTGAAAAGTTTAATCCGTTGCATTTCCACAAAATGAGTTCCCATTAATTTAATTTTTTCAGACAAAGCAGAAAAGTCATGTTTTTCCAGTTATTTCAAAAAATTTCAATGCAAGATTTAAAATTTTTTTCTTAAACAGTTATTGATGTAGTAAATTTATTTATGAACTCTAAGATGGCATGTAAAATACCAACTATATCAAAAGAATATAAAATATCTTCAAAGTTTATCAATATAAAATTTATAGTAGTGTAGACGGCGTGTAGAAAATATTTAATCTACATCATTTCTATAAAGAGTATTGTCAAATACTTCTATTTTATTTCAGACAAAACAGGAAAGACATCATTTATCTGTTCTTTTTTTAAATTAAGAAAATTTGTTGCTATGTCTGGTTTCTCTTGTTTAAAGATTTTCCACTGTTCAGAATTTTCAATAAATTCGATATTTTTAACAATAAAGTCTGAAGCATAACACTGTGCCATTTCATGCTTACAAAATAAACCAAAAACATTTTCTAGTGTAAATGAACGATTAATGAAATCAACGCAAATCGTTTCTAAATCCTTCATTCCATATTTAGTAGCAGCACCAAGAAGGTCACATGCTGATTGGAAAGTGAAATGTGGAGTCTTACCAGAGTAAATATAAAGTAAAACATCTCTAAAAACAGTAGGGTCCATGTTACTAATATTAAGTCTGGCTTTTTGGGGATTTTTTAGTAATATTTCAGAAAAAAGAGAAGATCTGGCAATAAGAATATTTTTATGAGCAGGAAATTCTTCAGGACCACATTCTATGACTAAATCTGAAAATTTCTGGTTGCAAAACAGATTCTTGAAATCATGCGATAATGTATTCAATGCTTGGGGTACTGGCAAATTTTGGAATTGGGGTGCTGGTTGAATTTGGGAAAATTGCAATAAATGAACCTCTAACTCCCCCTTAACACATAGTGTACATTTACCGGAAAACATCTTTTGAGTTTTCAATTTGAAATTAACCTCTTTTTTACATACACGTTTGCCTTCCGTTGAGCATACTTCTTTTGTATCCAGATTAATAAATTGCAGTTGAAAGCGAATGCGGACATTAGGATGATGTTTATCTCGTTCAAAAAATAAAAAAGGAGCATATGATTCCTTGTTCGGTGATTTAGCAATTTTTAAACACCAGAAGTTGTCCATAATGTAACCTATATCTTTTTTAATACATTGTTCATGACGAGGATCACAAAAAGTAGGGGTAACAAAATCTATAGGAATCTTGCCAGAAAGCATAAGGAGACTGAATTATTTACGAAAAGTTATAACAGCAACTGGCTCTGCTTGTTCAATAAAATTTGAAGTTTGAACTTTTTACGCAATAAATATTTATTTACGTTTTTTAATGCTTCTTTCTACCCATTCTAAGTATTGTATATTATAGCTTCTATAAAACTGGTCTCACTTTCTCCGATCGCTGATTGGAGAGTTTTTCACAAGGGAATCTATTTCACCAATCAGTCTCTTATTCTCCTACTACGGTGGTTGGGAGTGCGAAAATTATATCTAGTGAAAATAAAGCTTGAAAACTTCTTTATTAGGCAAGAATTGAATTTAGTGATACAGAAATAGGCTACTACAAACGTAAGCAAATATAAGAATTAGAATAGTAAAAAAACGTGCAAGTTTCTGAAATGGAGGAAGAATCGTGTAACTTTCGAGATTTTGGGCTTGATGAACGTCTGCTATCAGCTATTAACACTCTTAACTGGAAAGAACCAACATTAATTCAAGAGAAAGCTATACCTTTGGCATTAGAAGGTAAAGATATTCTTGCACGAGCTAGAACTGGTTCAGGCAAAACAGGTGCTTTTCTTATTCCAATTCTTCAACAATTATTGCAAAGGAAGCGATCTAATTATGTACAAGAAACAACTGTTCTTATAATTGCCCCTAGCAAGGAGTTGTGTAAGCAAATCAACAACAATATTAACGAACTGACTAAATTTTGTTTCCAAGATATCACGAGCTTCGACGTTTCTCCTCAAGTTGATCTTTCTACGCAACGGCCTTTATTACGCGATAAACCGGATATAGTTATTGGAACACCTATGCGAATTCTTGCACATCTACAGGAAAACAACTTACGCCTTGAAAATTCTTTACGTACTCTAGTTATTGATGAAGCGGATTTGCTTTTTTCATTTGGTTGTAAAAGTGATGTTTTGAAGATTTTAAATTCAACTCAAAAGTCGTACCTTCCACCTATTTATCAGGTGTTTTTAATGTCAGCCACTCTGTCTCAAGATTTAGGAACTTTGAAGAAGTTAATTCGCCTTCACAATCCTGTTGTTCTAAAGCTGAAAGAACCGGAACTCCCAGAAAGAGACAGGCTTACCCAGTACCATATAAAATGTGAAGAGGAAGACAAATTTGTGTTAATGTATGCCTTGTTAAAATTAAATTTGATACAAGGCAAATCGTTAATTTTTGTCAAGTCTGTTGACAGATGTTATCAGTTGAAGTTATATCTGGAACAATTTGGTATCAAAAGTTGTATTCTCAATTGTGAACTTCCTGCTTCGTGTCGTGTTCATGTTGTTAATCAGTTCAATATGGGAATTTATGATATAATAATTGCTTCTGATGAGCGTGTCGCCGATGCGCCGAGCAGCACGCCTGCCAAGAAGAAATTTAAAAAAGATAAAGAGTATGGCGTCTCTCGTGGAATTGACTTTCAGTTTGTTTCTAATGTTATTAATTTCGATTTTCCTTATTCAGTTGAAGCTTATGTGCATAGGGTTGGGCGTACTGCTCGAGGAAATGCAGATGGCGCTGCGTTATCATTTGTCAGTCTTAAAGAAATGCCGCATCTTAAACAAGTCGAAGATTATTTCTCAGACGGGACTGAAGATGCAAAATTTGAATTCAAACCATATCTTTTTAAAATGGAAGAGTTGGAAGGATTTCGGTATAGGGCACGAGATGCCTTTAGAGCTGTAACATCGATTGCTGTTCGAGAAGCACGATTGAAAGAAATTAAATCAGAACTTTTAAATTCTAAAAATTTAAAATCTTACTTTGACGACAATCCAAGAGATCTTCAGATTTTGAGACATGATAAAGCTTTGCACACTGTTAAGTTACATTCACATTTGAAAGATATACCTGACTATATTGTTCCTCCTACTTTAAAAAATGCTGTCCCTATGGAAGGTAGTAAAGGAAAACGTTCTAAAGGATCAGGTGGTCATGTGAAAAAAGAAGGTAAAGCTAGAAAGAAGTTCAAGAAAAGTCAGAAAGATCCTTTAAAAAGCTTTCAATTTGCTGGATTGACTGAATTAGAAAGTAAAAAGAAAAAGAAGAAAAGAGCCAAAAACTAAAATTTTTATAATTAATTTTATTGTATTGCAGCATTGTATTCGACAATTTTAAAGTTTATTCACAGAGGGATAAAGATCATAAAATATCTAAGTTTAAAAAAATAAGGCAAAAAAAATTAGTCTTGATTATTTTTTGAATGCAGTAGAAATTTGTTAAGAGATTCTTCTTAAATTTATGATTAGATTATATTATTTTTTATTTCTTATGCATATTAAAAATATCAGTGCTTATCTGTTTTGGGGGTATAGAGAATTTATTAATACATTACCTTAAATGGTATGTTAGGTTTCTATCCTGAATACTGATTGTCACATTAAATTCAGCAATTCAAATTCAGTATAGAGAATTTATTAATACATTACCTTAAATGGTTTGTTAGGTTTCTATCCTGAATACTGATTGTCACATTAAATTCAGCATCTCTGTTAGTGTCAGTAATAGTTTGGCAACTGTTTATATAATTCTGATATTCAGCATGATGTGTTCTAATAAGAGTTTCATACAATAATTTTATTATCATTCTGTGTATAAGAGAAGTTGTTTTATTATTCAAAGTTACAAAAACCTATTTTTTATGTTATGCATCTTTGAAATACAGTATGTATAGCATTCTACCTATATATGATGCATTGCCTTTGTAAAATGGTCTCTACTAATAAAGAACTTGAAAAATCTTGCTCATGGCATGTTTTTTTTTTTTTCAATATCAATGTATACATGACATGATTCACCATAATTTTGCCCATTTCGTTCTGTAATAGTAACAGTTTCTTTAGCAATGAATAGTTATTTGTCGCACTGGTGACTTAAGATAATTATGTGCACGTTCGCAGAGAGTTAAGCATGGGTATTCAAAATTAGAATATCTGTGCCACAAGAAATAATTCGGTTAAATTTTTAGAAAAAGATTTTTGTATTAATTATTCCAAGCATACATACTGATGGGCTATCATCAGGTCGTCCTATTTTAGAATAAAATACTTTAAAGTGAAAATATTCTCCTAAGCGTTCATTTATCTTGTAAATAAGTTTAGGATTTATCAGTTGTCCCATATTAAATTTTATTCTTTGTTGAGTTTTTATTCTTTATTTACTACTCAATAAATTTCTTTAAAATATGTTTTTTATTCTTATTTACTGATTTTCACCACTAACTTTATATGACATTGTAATCGGGATAACATATTTGGCGCATAACCAAAACTTTTTCTTTCATTATTTCAATATAATATTTTTGCTTACAATGAATCTGGTTAAATTAGTAAAATATTAATTTCCCAATATTTTGCTAATTTTCATCACCAATATTTATGTGTAATACAAATGTTAAAATGAATTTCATACTTGTGAGTTTTTTAAGCTTTGTTTATTTTGTAATAAATAAAAATCCACCGTGTATAGCTTATATCAATATTAAAGGTAACGGCTTATTTAAAAATCATTGAAGTTGTTGATTGAGGATATTAGTCATGATCAAAATTTTCTTTTTAATTCTAATTAGTCTGCAATCCCAACGGTTACTGAAACTGCTACAGTAATAATTGAGCTCAATATACAATTTATGAAGGAAAATTTGTATCTGTTAGGTTATTAGCAATGCACATAAAAAAAATTATATCACTGTAAAACAGATCACATTTTATTCAGTACTTAGAAAAATGGAATAAACCGTAATGCAGCCTTAAGCCAAATAAAAATGAATCAAAAATTAATAAATTTTGTATAAAATTTCAGTTGAAATTTTTTTTAAAAATTGTTTTGGATAGGAAAGAAATTTTTTGCATAGATGAAGGGAATAATCCCAATTTGCAGCTCTTATAGTTAGTCATCCTATATGTCAGATTTTATAAAGGGAACATTGATGCTCGATTTTTAAAAAAAGCAATGTTTTCCATATTTACACTTCATTAAGTAAAAAAAAAAAACATTTGTTTCCAATTATTTAAGACTTACTTTGTATTATTTATTTTAAAGGCAAAACTCCTTTTATTTAGTTATGCATTTGTTAATAAAAATATCAAAACTGTTCTATGGATTTGTTAATTTTAATCCAAAAAATATACTGTTTGTGTAAAATATTAGTAAGTCAAGCAAATTTTAAAATAGTATTGAAATAAATTTGGAGGAAATGAAAAATTTGTGGAATTAAAGGAATTGAAAAATATACTAAAATTTTTTGATTATTTTTATGTTACCACCAATTTTTTCATTATTCATATTTTCCTGTAATAGACAGTGTCAAAATCTGACTACGAAAAACTATGTTTTCATAAAGAACATATATTTCAATACATATATTTAGTATCTTTCTCAAAAAATAAAGTTGGAAATAATTATTATCAATCAATACCAATAAAAATCTCAAATTAATAATACCAAACAATCATTAATGAGGAAAACTGGCTTGAAAGTAAAAGTTTCACTATATAATCAAACTAGTTTTTATGTCTTTTATAACACCTTTTTCACTAATTTCACAGATATTGATAGTGATTTTTCTACCATTCAACGTTAATAAGCTGCTCCTAATAAATTTATTTTTTATACATTTTATTATCATTTCTATTAATTAAATACCCTTTTCTTCATTTCTGACTGGGATTAAAAATATATATATTAAGAGCAGTCATTAGGAAACATCTTGTTGATTTCAATTTGAGCTGAAGTGAGCAATCAAGTAGCTTTCGTTTATTCATGATTCTTGAAATCCTGATCTGCATTTTAGGACTTACAAAGATTGTTTTATATTTTGAATAAATGATAGTTTTATGTGTTCTTGCTGCAAGGACTGCAACATGTGCTTAAAAGTTGCTTGAGTTAAGCTTGTTTAAGTCACTGAAGAATGGTGCGGAATACATTTTCCTGATTTTTTTATGATACAAGATAAACTACCTTATTAAACAGATCTGAAAACAATGAATTTTCTTTGCAACTGGCCTATTGAATTTTAAATGGAAACTTCAAAAATTAAAATTATTAAAAAAAAAAACTTCGTATTAATGTGAGGCATTTCTTAAAATATGGTAGCCATTACAAGGCAAATTCCTACAATGAAGGGAAACTTTTTAGAAACAAGCGTGAAATAATTTTCAGAATATCATATATTTGTAATAATTACATATTAATTAATAAAATGCTCATGGGGGAGCATTTTCAATGAAAAACAGATAGTTTATTAATTGCAATTTGTTATCTTCAGTCACAGGTGGCAAATTTGGATTTTGTCTTATACTGTTTAGTCTATCTTGGAGACCAGGGTGTTAGCTATACATCAGATTTAAATATCTCTTAAAAATGTTTGTGTTAAAAATGTAGATGAGTTGCGACTCATACCAGAAAATTTTGAGACACTAACCATTTGACACAGAATTTTTAATGAACATATTTTACATACTTTCCTCACCATTTTGTACTAATTTAAGTAAAAATAAATAAATATATATATTTAGCATTCAAATAATTTACGGTTATGAAATACTGGTGTCTTTTTTTTGCGTTCTTGGTAAAATCTTCTAAATATGGCTCACTTCTAGATTTTGTAGCAATTTGTCCCCTTTAAAATTTGATAGTTAAATTAATAATCTATTTTCTTTCCACACAGACTGTCAGCAGAAAGTAAAACATAATGTTATAATGTAGCAAAATATGTCTTATATCAGAATGAATGACACTAACCCATTAAAAGCTAATTGTGTTGCTTTTGTGACCGATGACATTGTATGAAAGGGGTTTGTCTTAAACAAGACAAGCTCAATTTCATTGTAAACAATTAGTGTGCAGGCTGTAACATTACCAAAACAATTTGATGAAAATATATAAATTGCAATACCCTTAGGAAAGATGCATTGTTTACATTTTAATAATATGTATGTTCAATTTAAAATTTCTTAAAAAATGTTCATTTTTTATGAAGTTTGAATGAAAAAAACAAACCAGGAAACATTAATTTTCGTAAATCAATTACTGTTAATTTTGTGAATGGAAAGTTAAGCTTATTTATATCGAATATACTATTTACTGTCTAAAGACAGTCTTGCTTTATGAAAACCCCATTATAGGATGTTTATACAATTTGATGCATAATAATATAGTTAGGATCATATTTTAGTCTTGGTTCTAGGTTTTGAATACAAAAGTTTTTGTACATTTGATGACATAATTAGGGTTAAATCTTTCCTTCATGCTTTAGTTCGATTAAGTAAAATGTTAACTCTTTAGAAATTTAAAAATAAATAAAATAGCTATTATACATTATGGGGGTGCATAAAATTTTTGGGGAAAAAGCAGATTCTTTTTTTGGAAGCTGTGATAACTTTAATATTTTCATCAATTGATTATAATTATATATATATGATATGCTTTAATATAATTGAAAAAATATCAATTCGCCTTAAACATTAATGGGCAAAATATTTATAAATTGACACTTAGTTTTTCACGCTTAGTCTTCCTTAAAAAAATTAAAATTATAGCTTTCCCTGTGGCCGATTGGATTTATTATCTTAAATAAAAATAAAATCTTAAACTTTACAACTGATTTTGTTAAAAAATTAGTTAAGAAAAATAGAACTAAAACCTTGAACTCTAATTCTCATGTATTATTTTTTAAATAGAAACAATCAAAGATACAGTCTACAGATAGACACGGTCCTTTGGAACCTTGACATTTTTAAGTTTTAATATCTATGATTTTTCAAATTTATACAGTTATAAATTTCCTTATGCTAGTTATGCCTTTCCAATTTTTAGCCTCCCATTGACAATTAAAAAGACAGCAGGTTGTGCACCTCTATGATATTATGATGCATGGGTGCAAGTTGGAAAAAAGGCCAAGACTGAAATTTTTTTGTCTGAAATACCTAACATACACAATACCCAATCGACATATGCAAACTATCTAAGAAAGCTTTACCATAATACATCAAGTTTAAATACTGTACAAAAAATATTTATTCATCTGTCTTTTGATAAAATAACAACAGGGCATAAGAAAGTAGACCAATAACGTAGACCTAAAAAATATTAAGGACAGAAAAGAAAAAAAATTCCGATTTCCGTCTTCGAGTCAGTCTTGTTTCCGTCCGCGGACATTTTCGAAAGACGGAAATCCGTCCTGGGGACGGAAGACTTGCACCCATGTTATGATGTCGTGTTTTAAGTTTACTTCTTGTTTCTTTTTATATAATTATTAACTAAACCTAAAATCCAAAAAAAAAAATCAGTAAACTATATCAATACTTGAATGATTCTGAACAATTTATTTGATGCAATAATATAATAAATCTCGCCTTAAAAATCACACAAAATAAAAATGTATAAAATTATATAATTTTATATACACAACAGCAAAATTAAGTATTCAAAAATTGTAAGCCCTCTCAATCTTTGGTTTTGTCAAATTGTGATTAAAATTCAATATTGAATAAGAGAATGAACAGTTTCTGATATCTTTTCTCTTCCCTTAAGGTCACTTAATTCAATTACAACCAGACATGCAGCTACTTCAACTCCTAAACTTTTTATCAATTTAACAGATGCTGCCATCGTACCTAAAAAATATAAGCGAGATTTTTTAATACATAAAATTAAGTTTTCATAGTCGGAAAAGAAAACATTAGTAAAAAGGTATAGATTGAATTTTTTTAAATAAAAGAAAAATGTATTTTTGTTACATTCAAAGTCTGAAGTGTGAGAATGTCAACAATCTATAGTGAGTATCGACATCCAATTAGACATTTTGGTGAATTTCTGAAATGTTGGTTATTTTCAATTTATCAATAATATTTGCTAAGAATAGATAAGGCAAAACACCACTACCTGGCTATTGACCTTAATCATAAAAATATCAGTGTGAGAAATACCAGGCAATGACCTTAAAAGACATCAGAGTTGAAAACAACAGACCCTTAACCTAAAAAAATATGAGTGTAGGGAATACTAGGTAATTGTAACCTTACATCAGGGTTATAAAGTTTTTGATACATGACAGTTTTGTCCATCATGATAAAAAACCCATTTTGACAATTGTCAAGAACTCAAAATTATTGGCAATAATAAATATGAATTATAAATAAAAGTACTTATAAAATTTCAAGTAATGAATCTACTATGTTCTTTAATCATTTTGGCATTAAAACCCTTTTTTGTTTTGACAATATACTGTCAAAAATCAAAAGTTTGGTGTAGAAAATCATAATCTAGTATAATTATTAATTGCCTTCCATAAATAAATTAAAACTAGTATAACACACTAAAATTAAAAAGCATTAGAAAAGGTATTTTATACAATATACTAAAAATTGATAACTGATTTAAACTAACATTTATAATTTTTTAAAAATCATAATCAGTTCATTTATCAGCAAATATATAATAATCAAGATTTGTAGATAATGCTTGAATACATATAAACATTAAAGTTTTTTGTTAGATTTTGACCCTTTTGAAGAGGTTTTTCATGTCAAAAACCAGTTTCTGACATCGAAAACCCTTTCCTGCTTTATGTCCCTGCTGGTTTATCATTCCAAAACCAGGAATAATTCTAGAATTATGAAAATTATTAACAATAATCTTTGATAAATATAATAAAATATGCATATTAACAATGACATGTTGAATGTCCTACACTGATGTTATTTTAAGGTTAAAAACCATTGCCTGGTATAGTTTAAATAAGGATAATATATAACAAAGATTTGGGATATTCACTGAAGAGATATTCACAAGAGATACATGATATTCATTTTACTATTTGACAATAACATTAATTGTAATACAGATAATTAGAATAAAAATTTTATAAAAGAACTCAACAATTCATGTAAAGTTTTTTCAATATGAAGAAAATTGTGAATTCTGAAAAGCAAGAAATTTGTTTAAAAGTAAATATTAAATTTTTTATAAATGTATTTTAATACAGCTAATGAAATAAAATATTTAAGAACAGAGAAAGATGGTTCAAGACAAGCTAAATTTCCTTAAGTTTAAATTCCTAATGTAGTATTCTAAGAAAATATTTCTTCTTATACAGACATCGTGTGCAGATCCTTATTAATATTAAATCATTTTTTTTTGTAAATAAATAATTGATCAATTTATATTTATTCATAAAATTAATTAATAGAATAATATGTAAATAAAAATAAATTTCTGGCAATTTTTTTAAATATGATATTATAAATTCAAGAATTGTTTAAGTTTACTTAATGCGTAACACTTTAAAAGTGATACATTACTAAATTGTGTTATTTAAAATATGTAGATTGAAATTATTAAATATGTGAGTGATTTTGTTTCCATTATTCATCCGAAATGATTATTCTGTTTTGAGCAGTATAGGCTAAATACCAAATATTTGTATGTAGCAGCAATTGTTAGGCAGAATCTTGTATCTATTTACAATTAAAAACTTTTTGAAAAGGGTCTTAGCAATTACCGCAATAACAGGACCCAATTTGCACAAATTCACAAAAGCAGGACCATGGTTGAAAGACTGTGACTTAACGCTTATTTTATATTTGCACATTATGAATAGTTTTTTCACAATTTTACAAAAACAGGACCTTACACAAAATGTCTGGAAAGACCTCTGAAAAAATATTCTGTAACTTATTTAAAGTTCTTTTTAAATATTTTAAGACATTCAGTATAAAAAGTTATTTAATATAGTACATATTACTATCACAATCTACTAAAATCGGTTCAATTTCAAGAACAATTAATTTTTAAAGAGCACCTTATTTTATGAGCAAAAATTTTAGTTTTTTAAAATAAAGTTTAAATTTTAAGTTTAATCTAAAAAAAATTACATGTGCATTAAATGTTTAATGGTTTATATTATTCTTTCTATAAGATGAATAAAATTAGATGTTTGATTTAAATGATTTACTATGTTTTAAAAACTTATAAAAGTCGCAATTTTCAATATTTCCTCAAATTGACTACAAAGAATTAAGTCCTTTTCTTTCAATTGAAAATAATTAGAAATTTTAATTTCAGTTATAATTTTATTCTTCTTTTTACAGTTTTGTTATTTTAAAGTTATTTAAATGTTTCTATTTAGGTCAGGTTTTAATCTAAAAGTCAGGTTTGGTTCTAATTAGAAAAGTTAGAAATACTGAACATTTGTAGTATGTCATTTTTCAAATCAAGCTGCAGCAAAAAACCAGAATGGCGGCTCCATCTCTCTTTCTAGTTTTAAGTAATATCTGTATCTTTCTATCATGATCATGTAAACCTTCTACACTATACAAACATCAATCAAAGGACTAAAAAAAATTGATATATTTAAAGCATAAACTTTGCAAAAATAAAAAAAAATTATTATGTAAAAATAAAATATTCTTAAGAAATTGAGAATTTTAATACATTTATACTACTTCTGTTATGGTTACCTTAAATTTGCACTTTTAAGTCTCATTTTATTTTTATAATCACATTTACCTCAAAATTTTTTGCACAAGTTACACAGAACTTGAAAAAAATATAAAAACACAAAATGTTTATCCTCAATGACATGATACTATAAAATAGATAGAATTTCAAAAACTGGTTGAAGTGAATATTCAATTAAAAAACAATGTAAAAATTTTCCTACAAGGCAATTTTTTAAAATATACATATAAAAATAATTAAAAACTGAGTATCTTACTGAAGTGGAAGTATAGATGAGATATTATACATTTGTGTTCTGTATTCACTGTTTTTTAGTTTAATATTGCCTAGGGAAAAAAAGTTCTTTTCCTTATGAAATCTCCATATCATGAAAAAAAAATCCTTTGGATAGTAATAAACCATTTATAAATTAGCTAAAGAGCTAATATTTGATTTAACTCTCAGGTAGTTATGCAGGTGGGATAATTTTGGAAAATTTTTCTCCTCTATTCATAGTTTTAACACGTAAATCTGATTTTACCAAACAGAAAACGAAGGTCAAAATGTGATTTTGTACATGAATGATTACAAAAAGGCGAAATACTATGATTATTTAGAAAAAAATTAAATTCATAAAACAAAAAAAGAAAACTAAATTACCTCCAGTTGCTAACAAATCATCCACTATTACAACTTTATGTTTGTCTTTAAGAGTTTCACACTGAATTTCTACAGCATCCTAAGAATTAAAAAATTTTATTTTTAGAAGCTAGTACACATAAAACTAGCAATGAAATAAAAAAAAACTAGAATGTGATAGAGTTAGTTCATAGAGAGAATGAAGCTCGAAAGCCTACTCAAATTCTTAATTAGTACTTTAGTAAATTTCTTTTAAAAAAATCAAATTTTTTGATTATTTAAAACATTAAAATCCTCTGTTTTTGTGATATCAAGATTAGTTGATTCAGAGTTGCTTCCTTTTATTGGAAATCAGTAAAGTGCTACTCTTCCAAAGAATCAATGTTTTTTAACATAGTCTATTGTTCTTCTTAGACATGCACAGATCAGATTTCTTCTTAATGGTTTTAGCAGATAAATAATATCTGATCAGTTAGTTTATATCTGATCAATTACTTGTTAGTTAATTACTTGCTAGTTAATTACTAATCAGTTAGTTAATATCTGATTAGTAGTTAACAGATAGTTAATATCTGATCATGGCCTTTTTGTACTTCATTACGTGAGCAGATCAGGTCTATTCACAAAGTTGTATCAGTTAAGACAATAGTCCCACAACAAGCTCCCATATTCTTAGGAAAAATAGTAAAATATAGTCTTGCAAACATTTTAATAAAAGAAAAAGATTTATTGACCATTTATCACTGCTTTTAAATGACAAAATAAAAGCTACTATTAATTTTTGAATTTGTACAATTTTATTGTATGGGAGGGATATCAATTTCTTTAGGTTTTTTTTCCCTTCAAGAACCAATTTTAAATTTAGGGAATGCTAAAAAACTATGAAGTAAAACTGGTGAATATTACTGACTAAATCTCATAATTGCTAACAACACAAAATATTTAAATTTATAATTGTAAATTTTCTTTTTCCAAATATGTTTTTTCTTTTAGGCAAAGTTGTTTTTAAAAAACAAATTTGAACAAATTCAGTTACGTCAGCTACAGAAGATAAATTTTTTACAATACACAGTACTTATTGGTTATAGGAAAAATGAGTATGCAAATACTTTTCAGGTTGGCTTTAATATGAACATTAGTCACTATAACTGATAAAAAAGAATTTTTAAATACAGTGGAAAGTCCCACAATCGGCATTGTTGGAACTTCAGCCAGTTCAGGAAATTGATTTTTCCCGATAATAAGTCTTTTAAGTAAATAAACATAAACACAGTCTTTTCCAATTAAGAATAACAAATAGATGATAACTAAGGTCGATTTCAATCAACAACATATAAATTCACCTGGCCTGCCCATTGGTAATTTGGCAGCTATCTTTACAGATATCCATGTGGTTTTTGAAATCTTGATATTTTAATATACCATTAGATTTCAAATTATGCAATTCAGTTAGTAATCATATCACGATCCAATCGATTAGAAACAATTCCACAACGAGTCTGCATGGTTTTGTTGATAGTTTTTTGATAGTTATTAAAACAGATTTTCAGTCAATGTTTCAACACAATATTATTACATAGGGCAAACTTCAAACTACACATTTCACTATCAACCATTAATGATTCATACAATTAAAATCTTACAAAATTCGGAAGTTGAGTAAAAATCATAAAAAAGAAGAGGATTCCAACCCATGTATATATTTTTTTAAACAAGAGTCAAGTATAAAAAAGAAGGGAAAAAAAAAATTTTTTTTTTTTTGAAAAAGAAAAAGATTTGTTTTCTAAGGCCCTAACAGTATTAAAATATTTTATGAAAAGATAACATTAAAAACATTATTCAGTATATCAATTAATAGAAACAAATTAGAATTGTAACTTTCAAAATTAAAAAATTATTTATACTATGGGAATTTTTATGTTAAGAAAAATATATTCTTACGGTTCCATATTCTAAAGAGTAAGTTTCCTTTTTCACTTCTCCGGGTAATTTTCCAGGTTTACGGATTGGTATGAATGGGACTTGAAGCTTTAGTGACAAAGCAGGACCTATCAAAAATCCACGGGATTCAATTCCTGCAATGCAGTCTACATCTGGAACATTAAGTTGCAAGTATTCTTGGAATGCAGAAATCATATCATTCACAAGTTTGGGTTTCTGGAATATTGGAAGAAAGTCCCTAAAACAGGTAAAATTAAATTATTTCAGGGTTATGTGCAAAGTACATGTAAAACAAGAATAGATAAAAAATGTATATCATAAATATATTGTTTTTCTATTTATAGACAACAGGACTGTTAAGACTGCTTCAGAAGCATTTTTGTTTCTTGAAAAGAAACTGATTATCACATCAGAATTATTCCAATAAAATGTTTTAGTTATATTTATTATTACACCAAAAAAGATTTGTTTCCAACTCTATAGTTATTAAATTTAAACCTAATAGTTTTGTTTGGTTATTTATCATTGCAATCTGACCGAAACATCCTTAGATTCTAACTAAATTATTGGTTAATTATAAAAACATAGTGCTTAAAAATTATTTTGGAATTTTTAATTTTTAAACAATTTGCCGAGATTCACACTATAATTTAGCAACTTTAAAATTATAACACTTGGCCGAGAGATCTCCCCCATTGACAATAGATAGTTGTAGCTGTTAAAATATGTGCAGTTACTAGTTTATACTGAGATATAATTTGCTTGGTTGATAAAATATTAATATTTCTTTGGATTGTTAAACAGTTGTATTTGTTATTTTAAATGGCAAATGTTGTCTGAACACAGTTTTAGATAAAATTTATAATAAAAGTAAATATAACTCATCTCAAACAGAAAATATATTATTTACCTTTTGATACATACAAAACAGCAACTAAATAACTTTATCTCAAAATGTTGCAAACTAAGGTTATATTCTGTGATTACTTTACAAGAGCAACACTTTTTAATTTCTTTTGAAAGTTCCATATTATTTAAAAATTACTTAAATTCACAAAATGAAAAGTTTTTTTCCTTGCAAATAATAAAAAATATAATAACTACAGAGAACAAGAATGATATTACCACTGGTAAACAGCATTAAATAAGGAATTAATAAATATTTTTCATGTAAATAATATTAAAAGTTTTTTTTAATTTTAAGCTGGAGATATCTTTATCAATGAGGATATCACGTGATTATTCTGTAAAATGAGAGTGCTCAAACATGCAAGACACAGTTAACTTTTTATGATATAAGATATATGAAAAAATAAACTTTTAATTCATATTTCTGTTAGTCCTTCACCACGCTAATGATCTGTAACAGCAAATTTTAAAGTTGCTTCAGTGAAATCATCAATCATAATTAGGAATATGGAGAGTTTAAGCTCAAATTGTAAAGCTAACACCAAGAACAATTCTGATTAAATTAATATTTTCAATAGTAAATATACAGACTGGTTCTGACAAATGCACAACTTTACAAGATCAGAAATGAATATGCACACGACACACATTGATCATCATAATTTTATTTATTTAATTATAATGTTTTAATTTAATTATAATTTTATCTAACTTAAACATAATTCTAATCATTATAAACATCATAATATTTTTAAAACAAAATATTTGGACAGCTATTTAAAACCATAAAATTACATAATTCCCATTTTACTTTGCAATAAAGCTCAAATTCTAAAACAATCACCAGATTATAATCAATTATCCTTGAACTTGATATTAAAAAAAATAGTAAGAAATGGTAGCATAGCAGCATTAAAAATTTCACATAATTAGCCTGCATTACTAAGCATAAATTTAGGCAGCCACACATGTGCCCAATATTTAGAATCTATTTCTTTTCCTAATTTTTGGGTAGTTTTGAAAACATAGAAAGTAACATTTTCACAGACTAAGAAAATGCATTAAATATGAAAATAGCGGAAATGATTAATATAGTNAATTTAAATATAATTCTAATCATTATAAACATCATAATATTTTTAAAACAAAATATTTCAATAGCTTAACATATTTAAAACCATAAAATTACATAATTTCCATTTTACTTAGCAATAAAGCTCAAATTCTAAAACAATCATCAGATTATAATCAATTATCCTTGAATTTGATATAAAAAAAAAAAAAAAAAGGTGAGACATGGTATCAGAGCAGTATTAAAAATTTCACATAATTAGCCTGCATTACTAAGTATAAATTTAGGCAGCCACACATGTGCCCAATATTTAGAATATATTTCTTTTCCTAATTTTTGGGTAGTTTTGAAAATATAGAAAGTAACATTTTCACAGACAAAAAAAAATGCATTAAATATGAAAATAGTGGAAATGATTAATATAGTTATAAAGACAAGCAAAATGACACATTTTTTAACATAGTAAAATAACACACATTTCAAAATAAATTATTTGAAGCAATTTATAAAAATAATATATAAAGAAAATAGATAAAGATACTATAAATGTTTTTCAAAAATTCATATAATATATTTACTTAAATAATATGCCTTTCTTGGGAAAGTCAGGATAATCTTTCACTGCATTTTTCAGCTCTAATAGGACTGAATCACTAGACATTTTATTAATAGTATTTAACACTTCCCAATAAGAAATTACAGGTAAAGTTGAAGAATGGAAATCTATTGAATCTGTAAAACATAGCTTATATAAATGAATGAATAGATAATTATAAAATCTATGAAAAAAATTACACTATGAAATGAAATAAACAATAGAATATTGATATCTAGTGACAGGTTTATAAATCTGGGGACAGTAGGTATAGAGCTGTCGGGATCCCACTAGTTGATGCTTCAAATTTAAATGTTGCTTACATACAATAATATTCTTTTAAATTATTTGTAGTAACGCAAATAAATTAAGATATAATAGTATATTTGAAACTCAGTGCCAGACTAGACCATGGCCTGGGGCCCCTAATGATTATGGGCCCCCTTAAAATGGATTTTTTGAAAATAAATTTAAAAAAAATTAAGAACAATGATTTTTTCTTTTAAAAAATAAATTTCAAATATATATTATTTTAGCTTTAATTTAACAAAATAAAGTAAAATTTAATTCACTATTATTTTAAATATGCTTTCTTAAATGAAAAGATATATAAATACTTTTATATTTGAATAAATAAAAAATATATGAGAAATTTTTTTTTATCTAAGGACCCCATAAATTTGAAATGCCTAGGGCCCCGCGTAAGCTTAATCCGGTACTGTTGATACTATATTAATTTCAATTTTTCTTAACTATTAGTTCTGATAGACGATTTTTGAAGAAAATACAAATAAATAAATTACAATAAAAATAATTGCAATGTTTAGGGGTTCCCCAAAATGTGCAGGCTTTAGTCTCCGGCCTGGGGCATTTCTAGTTACAGAAAATTTTGAAGGTTAAAAAGAGAAAAAAAAAAGAGTAAGCAACAATCCTTTTTCTTAAGTTGTTTCACAAAAGGCAAGTCTTTTTTTTCTTTAATGACTTATATTGGGATCATTAATCAGATAAGAGCCTTTATCTAATAAGGAATATACAATAAAAGCGGAAATTATTATTTAAATAATAAAAAAATTCTATCAATAATCACCAAGCAACGGAGCTAGAGGAAAACAAATTAAATTTATAATATAATTGTTTATAATTTATTATATCTCACCGCTCAGCAAATTTGAAAGCGGAACTTTTAATTTCTTATGATGAAATACGTTTTAGACTTCTTATTTCTGCTCTACTCAAAGCTTAAAAAAATTTCATGGAAAGTAATCTCTCGGCTACTCCGGTCAATGGACAAAGTAATGACATCACTTCACTTCGATGTACCAAGATTTCAGTGACCTTTATTTATTAAGTTCCGTTTTCATTATTATATACTGGTAATGGCATTAAGCCTTAAATTTATCTAGTTCAAGTATGGTTATTGTTTTCTAGTAAACGTAGAGTTTTTAAGTGGTATGCCTTATTTAGAAAGTTACTGTGTTTTCCATTCTAGCTAAGTATGTAAGTAGCTTTTATAAGATCTTGATTACATCGGTTGCATAGTTATGGTTATTCCAATGTACAGTGTTGATGGAGTGATGAGTTATTTAATTGACCTATTGTTTTCTTCTTGTGTCGCAGTTTTACATTATTTTAGAAGGCACAACAGCCTGTCGTAATATTTTAGTTAGTCAATAAAGATCTTTTCTTTTCACTAAAGTTCTTTTTTACTTCATATGTTTTAAGTAAATGAAGTATACTTTAAATATAGAATTCTTTATCTCTGATTCTGGGAAAGACTGTCTGCAGTAGTATTACTTTTTATGGTTACAAAATATATCTGTAAAGAAATTTTTTATTTTTAAGTCGATAATTTGTATAATATTAATGTCACATTACTTTGTTGGATGTTTTTTTTTATTTTTTTAACGGATGCTTGAGAAGATTAAGATAATATTTTATAATTTTAGTATTAAATTTTAACTTTTTTTGACAAAATTTGATGCTAAAATTATCTTTGTTTTTCTAATAATTGTGTTCAACATCCTGTTTTATTTGCTATGTATAAATCAGTTTACTTTTATTGCTTTGTTAAAGATTTTAAATACTTCTCAATTAACTCACAATTTTTTTACTGTTTTTATATTCATAAAATACTTAATTTTAATTGTGTTACTCTAATTTTATTTATAATTACTTTAGAGAATATTTCTGGCTTTACTACATTGACGATTGTTATCGTTAGTGTAAATTTTTACCTTGTTTCTCATAAATTTTTTTTTTATACAATTTAATTATATTTATTATTGTAAGATTTATTGTATCTCACAAGAATTTATATATTATAGTGGCAATTAATAATTATTCAGCATTTATTAACAAAACCATTTTAAAGTAGTTCTACAATGTCAGTTAGAAGAAATTATTTTACACTGTTTATCACTTAATCTTAATCTTATTAGCAAAACCATTTTAAAGTAGTTCTACAATGTCAGTTAGAAGAAATTATTTTACACTGTTTATCACTTAATCTTAATTCATGATTTATTCGTGGTTATTACAATTATAAAATTCAGAAATATTTCCATATTGGTAACTTTTATGCCTACTACAATTGCCATGACACAAATGGATTTTTAACTTTCAAAAGTTTAAAAAAAATAAAATGCAGAGCCTTGCCTGTTATCATTTAACTCTTTAGGTTGGATGTTTTTTTTTATCTCATTTCTTAGATTACCACTACTGTAGATGTGGGTTGGGTATTTGTAAATCGGTATTTACTCCTGCCTTGAGTAAGTGCCCAAAATTAGGGTTTCAATAATTTCTTGTACTTATTAAAGCATATAACCTTGATTTGTCTTGCTTCAAGGTTGCAACTCCACAGGGAGAAAAGAGAAAACCTGAAGAATACAGGGAATTTAAAAATCATCTGAAACAACAGAAAAAAATGCGGAAATTTTGAATTCATCTTTATAAACTGGGAAGCTTATTTTTTATTTTGGTCTTTTAAAAAATTCAGTCCTCTCAAAGCACAATCTATGGAATATCTGATGATGATAATGATCTGTATTATGTTTTTCATTTATTATGGCATTGTTTGTTTTATGTTGATCTGTTCCTTAGTTTTAACAACAACTAAAACTAGCATTGTTATCCTAATATAGCTCACAAGAGCACTGTAAATGTGTGTTTCCTCTTAATATATATTGTGTATAATATGTGCAGGAAAAACACAGGTAATTTTTTTTCTAGTTGTGAGTGGCAATCCTGTGCTTATAGTTCTGGAAACATTTTTAATTTTCCGAAATAGCCATTAAAATATATCAATTCCAGAAAATATATTATTTAAAAAATCACCAGTTGCCACTCTTATCCCCAATATAATAAAGTGAAGAGAAAGAGTACCTAAATTTATAAAATTGAAAAATATCCTAAAGAGAAAGTTGCTCCATCTTATTAAAACTTTTGTTTGATTCTCATAAGGTAATTTGAGACTGAATTCTGGATATTTATAGTTTATTTTCTGCTTTTATTTCGCTCTTAATTGTGTTAATTTGCTCCACTTAGGGAGCCTTTAAATAAGATACCTAATTTAAAACATCCATAAAGTTCAATCCAATTAATTTGTTTTTCTCTTTTTTTTATATTGAAATGAAAGGATATTTATTTCACTATTGTCCTTCGAGGATAATTTTATTTTTTTCATTAACATTTACAGGCTTTTTATTTCTCAAAATCTTTTATTTATTATACATATTCAAAACTACTGACAATACTGTTAACATACTTATTTTAATGTTGTAAAAAAATTAATATTTCCAATTTTGAAGTTATAATAATCTTTAGCTATAATAATTTTTAATTCTAATTTAAATTACTCTTTAGTTATAATTACTCGTTAGTTATAATAATTCTTTTCTCATAATGACCCTTTTGTTATATTAACTCTTTTATTATAATAATTCTTTTGTTATAATAACTCTTTCCTGACAATAATCTGCAAAGTTTCTTGCAATATATCAACCATATGAATTTTCTGTTGTATTTCTTCTAATATTCTGTTGTACATTTATATTGTCTTATACATAAGTAATAAGATATTATATATTATAATGTACTATGTAATTTTGTAAAACTGAGAAAATATTTCATGTTTAAATTTTATCTTTTAGTCAATGGATATGGCTGCAACAGAAGGTGAACAAATCCAATTTAGTGGTCACACGCTAGATAAGGCTATTAAAGCGAAAGTTCACCTTGAAAATTACTACTCCAATTTAATTGCACAGCATATTGAAAGAAAAACCAGGTTCTGTAATTTATTATTTTCATCTTTTTAAGAGGCTGTATTTTGAAGATGGTTCTTATTTTTTTTCTTTTATTATTTTAGACATGAAAAACTTGAAGAAACTATGAAAGAGGAAGGACTATCTGAGGAACAAGTATTACTTAAATTTTTTTATTAAAATTCAGTTTTGTGTGTTATAAGTTGCAATTAAAAAATGTACGAAATCAATGATGCAGAATTTTAAATAATTATGTAATAATTGTTAATTTTAATTCGTTTTTAATTAAGGGCTGTCTATTTTAACTCTATTTGCATATTATATGTGTAATGAATAAAAGCTTTTTGTTTAGTAAGTGTAGTCATAAAACCAAATATACCTTAATATATGTTATTACAAATTTTAATTCAAATGTGTGCCACTTACAAAGTTTACTCAATAAATATATTTATTACTATCACATAAATATTTGTTAATAAAAATGAAATTTAAATTTAAAAAATTATAGTACTTTTTAATTAAATGTTATCCTAGTTTTCATTGTAATACTGCACTTTTATTTAACAGTAATTAAGAAAATATTTTATTTGTCTTTTTAAAATGCCATCTTTCTAAATTAAAAGCAAAGTTTATAATTTTTTTTTTTTAAAAATAATTTTTTTTATAATTTTTAATTTTAAAATTTTTAATATATATATATTTTTTTTGGATTTTTTTGAAGATGATACTTTCTTAATTTTGTTTGATTTTATAATTATAATTGGAATTATATTATATAAACTATGTAACTGCATTAGGAATTGTTATATGCAAGAGTTGAAATTATTGAACATAGGATAGAAATGTATAATTTTTAAGAATTCAAAATGGGCTAAAATAAACAACAAAATAAAAATCTTTGAAAGGACAAAGTAAATTGTATCATTTGCATTTTTCAGCAGATTGCTAAAAGAATCTGCTGAAAAATGCAAATGATTAGAGAAATGTCACACTATAAAAAAAGTCAATTTATCTTAAAACAATTTTTTTAGGTCTCATAGAATGATTTCTTTTTATAATTGGGTATGTTTGGAGAGCCTGAAATGTAAATAAAATATTAAATAAGATTTGAAGATAATGTTTTAAAACTTGATGCTTAAAATTTTGAGTACAAATTATGTTTCTTGCAAAATGTTCCATATTTAAAAAAAGCTTTTTTATGGGCATATTAAAAAAAATTACATTTAGGTTTTACTTTGTTTTTTTTTGCATTTTGAAAAATCCATAAAAAATGTTTTCAAAAGTGTTGTAATTTGTTACAAACCAAAGAAATTAAGCAGCATTGCTAATTGGAATTTAATAATTCGGCAATATGTTTGCAAAAATCTTTAAGAATTAAAGAAAAAAAAAAACTTAATCTCATAATAAAGGTTTTTTTTTAATTTCTTTATTATCTCTTTAAAAAAAAGTTTAAAATCAATGATATTTTTAAAAGAAAAATCAAAATTCTAAAAATAATATACATTAAAACTTTTTTTAGAAAAATTTTTTGATTTAAATCAACAAACTTTGATTAAGTTTTTTTTTTATATATTCTAGAAACAAGAGAAAAGAACACAGCATGCCTTAAAAGAGACAGAATTTCTGAGACTGAAACGTTCTAGGCTAGGAGTGGAAGATTTTGAGCCATTGAAAGTAATTGGTAGAGGAGCATTTGGTGAAGTTAGATTGGTTCAGAAAAAAGACACTGGGCATGTCTATGCTATGAAAATTTTACGTAAAGCTGACATGTTAGAAAAAGAACAGGTATATCTTATTTACTGAATAGTTAAGCATTTAAATAGCTGGGTTGATTTTTTATCTCATTAAATATGACTTTTATATTTTTATCTTTACAGGGATGAAATTTTTCCTCTTTTTTCACTTTTATCTCTCGAATGTCAGTCTTTTTATCAAAAAGCTAGCGTCTAAATTAGTTACCAATCTGTTTGTGGCAGTTTTGCTATTACCACAAGAATATATTAAACTTTTCCAAACTGGATTTTCTTGTTTGTTTGTTGAAAAGATTGCTTAAAGCATTTGCAGCAATCGAAAATTAAACAAAAATTTAAAAAAAAAGATATATTAAACAAAATCAATCACTTTATAAGTGATTAAAATTTTTTTTTGGAAAAAGAGTTAATTAACACAGCACCAAAATTTAAAAAATAATGTTGCTGTTATTTATGTTATAAAATGTGAAATTCTTATCAGATGAAAAATAAATCTAAGCAGTTGCTGATTATCATGTAATTTTTCAAACTTAAATAGCAATTTTTGTATGTTAAGGAGTTACTATATGTTTCTACTTCACAGTTATTGACATGTTTTACAGAGCTCTAGCTAGATTAGGTTGTAATATGAACATAGTGATTCTAATTGTAAAAATTTCTTTTCTTTTCTAAATAATTAAAAAGTCATGTTATTGATATATTTGTCATAAATTATGTAACAGCATTCATTAAAAGAAAGGAAATGTTAATGTATGTTCTCAGTAGTTTTAATTTGCTAAATCGGGCAGTTTCTCAAGAAATAAGTGTCTCCTTCATGTGAACTGAAGAAAAATTTAATTTCTAGCATTATTTCTTCAATTGGTCATTTTACTTTTTGCTAAATATTAAGTATCCATGCAATCATTCAAATATTAATAAATTAGTGCACAATTTTATGTCAACCCATAGGTATTTATTATCTTAAATTGTCTGAAATTCATTATTAAGCATTTCCACATGTTTAAAATTTACTCACTTGGAAATTCAGCTTTTTTGCCTTTTGCCCAATCTCATTCCTGATCTTTAGAATAATGTTCGTGACTTATAATTTTATGAATCAAGTAAAAAAATAATATTCAATCTGTTAAATTTCAGTTTTTTTTTAAAGTAACAAAAACATATTTTTATGATATCGATCAATACTTAAAGAAAATTTCAATTTTAGTAAAAGGAAAAATGTGGACTAATTCTATGAAATTTTCCAAACAAAAAATTTTTATCAATGATATGGTATTGACCCAAGTTTGGATTTTTAAAATTTAGAACTCTGTATCACGAGTATTTAATGTTGTTGTTGCTTGTCCTCTTCTGGCCTGACGAAGTCAGACCAGATCTATGAACCAGTTGACCTGAAGAAAATCAAATACCAAAAGAGGAGTAGAGTAAGTGTCTTCCCAGAGAAGACCAAGACAGTTTAGGATGTGATAGGCGGAAGCCCGGTGTAGATGGCATTTAGGGCAGAGGGGGTAGATTTTAGTTCCCTCAGAAAATAGTAAACCTTTAAGATATCCGGTAGCTAGGCGGGAGATTGTGCAGACTCTCCTTTCAAAGGGAAGGGTCAAAGAAGCTGCAGGCTTATTTCCCTTGTACCAATAGTGGGTGGGGGGAATCAACCAGTCTCTGAGAAGCTGGGATTTCTCCAGGGAGTAAAGTTCAAGATAGGTAAGATCAGAAGAGGTAGGGTGTGGTTGGCTGCAACCTTCTTTAGCTAGGCTGTCCGCTAAATCATTACCATAGATACCGATGTGAGAAGGAACCCACTGCAGGTGAATATTATGTTGGAGAGACAAGAGTTTTAGGTTGTTTACGATGGAAATACTGGTTTTGTCGCCAATTTGGGTCCGCTTGTTGAGATGTTGCAGGGAGCTGCGGCTATCAGAGAATATCCAAAGGTCTTTAAAATAAAGGTTATTTTGCATAACAAATTCCAGACTCCTGTTGATAGCCAGAAGTTCACTTCTAAACACGGAGCAGAAGTCTGGGTTATGCTGGCAGAGAGAAAATTTTTCATCAGGAGTCTCAATGTAGACTCGGCTACCAGCATGACTATCGATTTTGCTGCCGTCAGTTAAAATTTTTGCGTCTTGTTTTGGAATAGAGTGAATAATTTCGAGAGCCAGTTGCTTTAGATGGTCGGGCAGGAATTCCTTTTTATTGACAGGAGCGGGAAGGTAAACTGGTTCATGGTAAGGTAATTTGCAGCTTCTGTTTGTTCGAAGACTGGAGCACTAGGAGGTAAAAGACTGTTTTAGCTCCTTAGACACCCAAGCCGCTCCTAACATGAAGTACAGGCGCTGGGTACGGGTTTGGATCGGAGTTTTCCTTCTCCTAGGTATCTCTCTTAGTCTGACTCCTACCCAACGGAGACCTGTCCGGCATGGGAGATCCTACCAGTAGCTACGCTACCGCCGGCATAGCTCTCTGGGTTGCTGAAGCACTCAAGCCCACCCACCTGGACAAGGTGAACATACCGACGGGGGTATTTAATGTTATAGGGAGATGCATATATCTTTATTTATTCTATTAAGAAGGTATGCTTTTATTGTTGCCAGAAAATAATCCTTACTTTTGAAAAAATATTTGTTTAGACAATTTTTTTGTTTGATATTTATTTTACTTTCCTTTTTTTGTACAGATTTGTCTGACATCTGCACTAGATGTTTTTCGGTTTCTTCCTCCTCACCAACCACTTATGACTCATTTTTATCCGCTCCCCGCTTTCGCCACATGACGACAACTCTAATCAATTCTAAGTTCACTTGTATTTCGTTTGTTTTCTACTCTAAATGTTATTAATAATTGTAGATCTATAACAAATGTTTGCCCCTAGGCCACTGTTTTGTTATGTATCTGCATCGGATGGTTAAAACGGAATCAAATATTGCTGCCCTGAGAAATTTGATATTGACTTGTATTACCATCAGTTTTAAGCATCAACATAGGGTTTGCGGACTATGTTACTTGACCTTAATAATAAATATCACTTCAAGGTATACCCGGCAGTGGCACTTATTTAAAAAAAAAAACAAAAAAAAACACCAGTGTAGGATGTACTAAGCAAATATATGCCAAACAGTGGCATTTAACCTTAAACTTCGCCATTTAACTAAACATTGAGATTTAGCTAAAAAATACTGCTGGTTTATAACAAATCATTACCCGTAGGCAACAGATTTGTATAGAATCGACACCCATTTTTGATAAATTTTGTGTAACAAACACATTGTTTATGATATTAAAAAATAATGAATACTCCTAGGCCACAAATTTCTAAATGATCTGCGTAGGATTAACAACATAAAATCTCCGGAAATATGAACATAAAATAACTCAGCTACTAGATAGTAATATATTTCCAGAAATCTTTAAGTTAAGCACATAATTATTCCTAAGAGCAATCCGCAAATATAGAAAATCGCCTATTTTACGACATCTTCGTTGATTAAATCATCATCAGAAACAAAAAATTTTACAAAATCTTATTAGCCATAACAAAATTTTAGTTTCAGCATCAAACTCTACAGAAAACTATTATAGTTTACTCACCACCCCCTATCCCCCAAAAGCCCTAAATACATTTCAAAAAATCTTATTTAAAATAGAGAAGTACAATCTCTTCTTATTTCTGATCTGTGCAATATTACAAATCTGTCGCGAACCTTATTAAAACGTCAGGTCTCCAATACAAGCTCATAATTCTAATTACATCTTTGTGGTGACTATGGTTTAACTAACAGCAGATTATTATTCTCTATTGCCGAATTTGGTGTTAAAAAAAATTTCAAAAAACAGGTGCAGGCGCCTCCCAAATCTATACTCTATTAAATATTAATTCTTAAAATGTTATGTATTTTTTTACTTACTTTATTTAATTTTTTAGGTTGCCCATGTTCGTGCCGAAAGAGATGTTCTTGTTGAAGCCGATCATCAATGGGTTGTTAAAATGTACTACAGTTTTCAGGATGCAATGAATTTATATTTAATTATGGAGTTTTTGCCTGGAGGTAATTTTATTTACTGTTAAAGACGTTTTTGATTGGTATTTCGGTGATATTTATTTTAAATTTAATGATTAGTTTTATAATTTGATCAGTGTTTTGGTATCAGCAAGATCATTGTAGAACATTTGAGTTTATGAGATCATGAATCTTAAAAAAGCTTGTTCTTTACTTTTTGAAACAAGGTAAAAATTTTCTCAGCCATTTAGATATACCTTTTCATACCTGCCTCCTGTTTTTCCTGTCTCCTGTTTTTTTTAACAAAGACTCCTGTATTTTACAACTATCTCCTGTTTACCCATATATTCTGAAATTTCTCCGTATTTGTTGAAGAGATTTTAAAAAAAATTTATTTTTGCTGATAACATATCTTCTGATGGCAAAAATACTCAACAGATGGTTCTGTTGCCAGTGCTGCAGTATTTTGAGTGTTAATGGCTAAAGTAATTATTAATAATAGTTTTAAAAATCTTGCTTAGATTAAGATTTATATACATATTTTTTATTTCGCTGTATGTTAAATTCTTATAATTTTTCCAATTTTGAAAATTTCTCTTTTTGACTTATATGATTATGAAAGATATACCAAAACTTTACCCGTAGCCTAAAAAGTGTCACTAGTAAAATCTTGATTTTTTTATTCCTCCAACGTTGGCAGGTATGCCTTTTTAAAACTTTTGTCAGGAAAGAAAGCTCTAGCTCCGGCAATTTTAATATATTTTTATGCTTACTCTTGAATTTCAAATTTTAATTTGAAAATTTTATTATAAAGTGAAACAAAAATAATAGCATAATAAGCAGCTCATATAGATGATATAAATTTATTTGTTTATTCTTAAAAAAGGATATGAAATTATTAACTTTTTCATATTTAATCTTAAATCATTATAAATGCATTTTAATTCTGAAAAAACTTTTTCTGTTGCAACTTGGCTGACGGTCAATTCTGTACATTGATAGGCCTCTTGAATGTCTGTAAGATAAAGGAAATTGCTGCAGTCTTGTAGCATGGAATAATTTAGAGAAAGCCCAACGGTGGAGCAATACATAATTAAACAACAAATATGTGTGAAAAGCGATTGATTTGACATTGTATTTAGAACTAACATCTCAGATTGGGAGAAAATATTTAATGACAAATGATTGACACTCTGCTTTAGATTTTAAAAACGTTTGTATTACAGGTTACTTATAACAAAAATTAAAATATTTAGCTGAATTATCACAAGTAATTTAAAAATAAGCATGCATTATAAAAATTGCCTATTAAAAATGGGAGATATATATTAAGGTATAAGTTTTGAATGTTTTGTCTTTATTGTAACATTAATTGTATAGAAAATGAAAATTTTTTGAATTCTTATTTTATTTTGTTTTCAGGTGACTTAATGACATTACTGATGAAAAAAGACACACTTTCTGAAGATTGTACACAGTTCTATATTGCTGAAACAGCTTTAGCTATAGACTCCATTCACAAATTAGGTTTTATACATAGGGATATTAAGCCTGATAACCTACTTTTGGATGCAAAGGTATTTTATATTATAATTCTCCCCCCTTTTTTTAACTCTATTTCTTTTCATATCTTCTTATCATATATTTTTTCTACATATTTTCTGTAAAATAATAAGGTATACCTTTTTGTGAATTTAAAGGTTGATATTATGATAATCTTAAAAAGTAAGAGTAGCGTTTTCTTTTACTTTATGCATAGCAGGTGAGCTTCAATTACAATTTGCTTGATTGAAGTTTCCTTTGGCAAATTTTTCAGGTGTGTTTAATTACATTTGAATGACAAAGAAAATATAACTATTTGCAACTAGATGAAGATTATTTTAAGTTTATTTTCATACAAAAGATTAGACTATGTTAGGTTTTCTTAGAAACAAAAAGGTGAATACTTGTAAAATTCACCTTGAATGATTGAGAAAGGATGGGATACTTTTGATAATGGGAGAAGTCTAGTTAATTTCAACTTATGTGTCATGTTATGTTAACTGTATATTTAGTCCAGTTCAATCCTACTTATTGAAGAAGTGTTTTATATGAGGAGAGAAGCAACAAAGTATAATTTCTATTTAATTAATATTTAAAGTCTGCTCAAAAGCAGTTTTTTTTTATAAAGATATATATTGTCATCCTTTTTTAGGGCCATATAAAGTTGTCTGACTTTGGTTTATGCACTGGGCTGAAAAAGTCTCATCGAACGGAATTTTACAGAGATCTTTCTCAGGCAAAGCCCAGCGATTTCAGTATGTATTTTGACAGAAATGGTAATTATTGTTTATTTTTATTTTATGATTTTCATTAGTTTAGTTCATCTTCTTTTTTGTTTCATGCATTTTTTTTAATTTTGCGTGCTTACTATTTTGTTGTTTTACTTTAGTTCATTAGAAGAAGTTATTACTTTGTTTTAAAATGATCCCAATATTATAAAATACTATAATATTGCTTAGTTATGCATAAACATAGTCTGTATTTTGAGATTCTTAAAAAGAGCAAGAAATGTACTTACAACGAGTTAAAAAATTTCTTTACAATTCAATGAAAAGAAATATTTTCCCCTTAAAATTACATTCTATTGTATATTCGAATATATTAAGATATATTGAGATAAATTTATATAGAATGTATTATCCTTAAGTTTGAATGTATTTTCTTTAAGCTTGAGGTTTCCCGAGATATTTTCTTGGTTTTGTACACCAGACTCTCTACATCAAGACGATTTGCATCAACATTTTTTGAAATATTTTCTCTTGCATTAGCAAATTAAGTATAGTAAGATACTGCTAAAAGACTGCATGTGAGCAGAAACAGATTGCAAGATGTAATTAAAGAAATATAAAAAGGCAAAATTAAATTTCATATATGAGATGGCCAAAATATTTAAATAAATGCAAAAAAATAATTAAATTTACAAAAAATAAATAAATAAAAAGCAAAATTTAAAAAACTAAAAAAAAAAATCATCGGAGTAACTTTTTAAAATAAAATTCTGATGGAGGTATTAATTTTTTGATAAAATAATAGTTTATTTCTAAGAGCTAATTTATTTCTAAAACTTCTAGCTAAATTCAAATTCACTGCTACACTTTATTCACATTTTTGCATTTTTTAATCCAATTTTCTTTATTAATTTTTAATCACTCAATGCACAGCTGCACAAATTCAACTGAATGCTATTTTTAAATTTTACTGATTTTTCTTATTGAACTTATTGCAATCAAGAATGTTTCTTCTAATACATTATAGATATATATTCCAATTTTTTATTAGCATGTTTCATTTTTCTTTTCAACTTATACTTCTATGTAACCTGATTTTGATTGTTTATTTATTCATTATTTTTTATTCATTTCTTTTTTATTGTATTTTGTTTCCTTTTGATTGTTACAGTTTTTATAAAATTTTATGTAAATGTATTAACAATATTCAATATGCAAGAGGGAAAAAAAGAAAGGAACTTCCTTCATAATTTTGATCTAATGACTGGAGTTTCATGTAATGGGACTCAAACTGAATAGTTCGTGGGGTTGATCTCTAATATGCTAACTAATTACTGCAGATGATATATTAACACATTTGTTGCCAAACAGTAATACTATGTCAATTGTTGAAGAGTGTTAAACTATAACGATAAAATTTAAGTTAAATTTTCTTATTTTAGCAACTATTTTAGTTTTTAAATTTTACAGCAAGTTTGTTTTAATAAACAATAATATGTTATTTTTACAAGAATACATTATATTTTCTGTAAATATAATGGGGTGATAAAACATGCATCTTGCTACCACTTCATCTGTTTTATTGACACAAACTGTTAAGAAGGATTTTGTCACTTGATGGACAGCAAAGTTTATTAAACTAATAACGTGGTGAGAAAAATTAATATATCAGTCACGAAAACTATCCTAAATGTATCATATGTTACTTCTGTGCTGCTGGTTCTACCTTATACTCTTCATAATTATAAAAGTTAAGCGTAAAAAATATTTTAAAAATAATATAAGTTCATAAAACGTACAATTACCCTGCATGTCTTTGCAGATAGTGTTTTAGGATATCGTAACACATAAACTTTTATATTATTTTCAGTTAAGTTTTGATTTATCGTGAGTCTTAATTCCCTTATTTATCAAATAAATATTTTTGTTGAGATATTTGCATAGTTGTTGCTAGAGTGGCTTCTTAAATTTATGAGTTATGCAGAGGAAGAGATAGATAGTTCTTTCAAAAATAAATAGAATAAATTCTTATTAAATTTTCTTTCTGCTCATTTTAATAAATTTTTTTTAAGTGTCTCCAGTCTATCCTATTTTTGTCTATAATTATTTATATAATGATTTGTAAAAATGTTGTAAATCATGTTTCACACAGCCAGTAATCCTATGGATTCGAAGAGAAGAGCTGAAAGTTGGAAAAAGAATAGACGACAGCTGGTAATGAAGTTTTTTTTTTATGTATAGTGTTTTAATTAAAAAATCCAATGAAACAAAACTCATTAATGGAATGTTGTAGGCTTATTCAACAGTTGGAACACCTGACTATATTGCTCCTGAAGTTTTCATGCAGACTGGTTATAATAGTTCATGTGATTGGTGGTCGCTTGGTGTTATTATGTATGAAATGTTGATGGGTTAGTATGTTGTATGTTATTTGCATTATATTGTATGTTATTGTACTTTTTGTATAGAAAACCGAAAAATAGTCAATGTTTTAAGTTGATTAACAAGTCAGGTATAAAAGTTTTGAGTTAAGTTTGTTAAAAAGTTGCATTGATGAATTTTTAAAATTTCTTTTTAAATATATACATTTTCTTTATTGTATGAACAAAGAAACTTCAAGAACAGAATTTAATTTTCGAATAAAATGATTAAAAAAAGGTGAACTAAAAAAGAAAGTATAACAGAATGCTGTTTTTTAAAGTTATTTTTCATTTTATTTAATATAATAATGTTCTTAAAAATAAAATTTATTTATTGATTTTGTTACAAATGAAAGCAATTTTCTTACATTTATGACAACATTACTATGTATTAAAAAACATAAAATACATAGCTACCAACTCTACTGGATTTTGCCAGTTTCTCCATGTCTATTGGTTTCATAAAAATTCTACTGGTTTTTGTGAATTTTAGAAAATTCACTAAAATAAAGTACATTTACTTAATAAATCGCTATTGATATGAAATGTTTTCTTACTTGAATATTTAAATAAATATTACTAATACATAATGAATACTCATCTATAGAAATCAGTTTAAAACTTTTTTGTTGTAAAATATTCAGTTTATTTTTATTCACAACTCCCTTTTTAAATTAATTAAAAATATCTTTTAATTATCTTTGATGAATTAAATGCCTATTATTATTCTAAATTATGAGTTAACATAATGTATAACATTTAACATCAATCATAATTGGAAAATATTACAGAAAACTTACTTGGAATAACAAGAATCCAATTTACTGAAAAATTTACGTATGACTGCTAGATACAAATGAGAAAGAAAACTCACTTGGGATAACAAGAATCCAATTAACTTTCTCATTTATCTATCTCATGTATCTTGCAGTCATATGTCAATTTTTCAGTTAACTGATGTCAGCTTTGATTGTCATGTTTTTCCCAATTTTTTACTAATTTTTCTTCAATGTCTCATTTGTATAATTCCTCTTGGTTTCTTTGCTGCTAGGCACATTTTTCCATTTGGATGTTATAATCTTTTTTATTTTTGCTTTAATATTTTAATTTCTTTTCATAATTATGTGTGTATCTTAACATGTGTATCTTAAAATATATGTGTACGCATATATGTTAAGATGTAGGATTTTATGCCTTTTTCAGACAGTGACATCTTGAATTTATGTTGTGCTTCTGCCTTATTGATGTTGTCGGTTGTAAATTAATGCAAAATATAAGATGTTTATTATTTTATAGCACCAAATTATAAGATATTTTTCATCTATTTCAGATTTGATTTAACTTATTGTGTTAAAAAAATTTATATTCCATTACTAAAATACTATCACTATTTTAATGACTTTTTGAATAAAGAAAGAAATAATAATGAGAAAACATAAAATCTTCTGCATTTTAATAATTTCCTCAATAGCTCTGTTGTAAATCTTCTGCATTTTAAAAAGTGGAGTTTGGCAGGTATTAAATCAAATGTTGTATTAAGTATGTTTTTGTTCATTTTCCTAAAGTTTATCTACATGTAGATAATTTTTTCCCCTCTTCTGTAGGATATCCACCATTTTGTTCAGAAACTCCTCAAGAAACTTATAGAAAAGTGATGAATTGGAGGGAGACTCTCATTTTTCCTCCTGAAGTTCCTATATCTAATGAAGCTAGAGAGCTCATTCAAAGGTTTTGCTGTGAGGCTGATAAAAGAATAGGTGCCAACAGTGGTGTGGAAGAAATAAAACAACATTCTTTCTTCAAGGGAATTGATTGGGCACATATTAGGTAATTTTTTTTAAAATTAGTTTTTAGCTTTAAGCCTTCTCTGTTTTAATGATGTAGTAATCTAAGTTTGGTTATGTAACTATAATATAATTGCATTAGCTATTACACCTCTTATGACATAAAATTTAACACTGCACTCTTTGTAATTAAGTTTGATTGTTAATAAGTAATTCTCTGCTGATAGGTTAAAATTATATAAATGAATATTTCAGTTTTCTCTTACATAAATGATTGAGTTATTTATTAGATTAATATAAATAATTTGAAAATTTCTTTATTACGTAATCTTATATATTTTAAGTATTTGAAATAAATAATTTTTATTACTTTTTATACTTACAAAATCTCATTCCCTCACTTGCACCTACAAATGAAAAACATTATTTCTCTCTGAAATACCTATACTTCTTGTTCAACTTTAAGTTTTTAAAATTAACACTTGTGTTGTTGTTTCTGTGTATTAAGCTAATTGTTTGATCTTTAAATGGATTTTCATTTAGCAAAGAGTTTGAAACCCATAATTCGTGTCCTCCCTTCACTCATATTAGTACACGTAGAATAATTCAGATTGATTTGGGTATAAACTGGGCTCAGCACAAGTTTCAAAATTCTGTGATAAGACTACAAAACAAATTTCAGAAAATTGAGTTTAAAATTTTAATCAAGTCATGTGGAATGTGATTTCTTGATATTTTTTTATTTTAAAACATTTGTTTCAATACAGTTTTTTACTTTTTTCAGAGAGAGACCTGCAGCCATTCTAGTTGATGTTAAAAGTATAGATGATACATCTAATTTTGATGAATTTCCTGATGTTGATCTCAAAATTCGTAAGTCTTTTTATATATTCAATATTCGTGTTTGTATATTTATGTAATATTTGAATCTCGCCAAGTTTGCTACTTCAAATAACATTTAATATTATAGATGTCAATTATGCTTAAATAATTAGCATGAAAGAATGTTTATAAGTTTAATTTTGCTTACGCTTAAACAATTCATTTTATGATCTTCAGGGTTTTTTTCATCTATATTTAAGTTGTTTGTTCGTAGTGGTGAGCAAAATAGATAAAAATCAAATTTATGAAGTTTGAAATAAAGTGCTAAAACATAAAATTTACTATCACTTTCTTAACTCCCCTAAAATCTATCTAACTATGTATATATATATATATATAAATATATACAGGGTGCGTTCTGAAAGTAATGCGCATTTTCTGGGAAAAATAGATTTATTGATTCTATGGGTACAAATGGTTAAAATTCTTCAAAATAGTTCCCTTGTGCATCAACACACTTGCGGAGACGATTCTGCCCCACCTGGAAAGCACCCTGGAACTCCTCGACAGAAATGCCTCTCAGGAACCTTGTAACATGAGCTTGTATGTTCCCCACCAACAGTCAGCCCTTCAGTCGGGAGAACAAAAAAAAAGTCAACGGCTTTAAGTCAGGGCTATAGGGAGGCTGAGGCACCAAGGGGGTCTTACTTTGGGTCAGGTAGTTTCTGCTCCTCTGTCAACACCTTCGGCACAAGCTTAGCACGACTTTTCGCATTTGCAAATCCTTCGTCACAATCCCATGTACCACACATTTTGACAAGTTCAAGGTGTTAGCGATTGCCTGAATGCTTAACCGACAGTCTGACTTCAAAACTTCACGCACACGGTGGACGTTTTCAACGGTTCGGGCTGTTGTTGGGCGTCCAGAGCGAGGCTCGTCGGTGATCTTCTTCCGACCCTCCTTGAAGGCCTTGCGCCACCTTCCACACTGAGATCTCGAAATGCATTTCACCTTAAAGGCGTCTTGAAGCATGTGATGCGTTTCCGTCACATTCCTTCCAAACCACACACAAAACTTTATCGCATTCCAGCTAACACTCCATCACAGTGTGACTCGATCGAAAAAAAGACTTTGCGCAAAGACACGTCCTACTGCTCGGAGCGACCTGAGACCAGGCGCGTTTAGAAGGACAAATCCCCCACCACATTTTTAGACCAATCTGAGTGCGCTGCGATCGATAGTTGCGTCACAATAAAATCATGCGCATTATTTTCAGAATGCATCCTGTAATATATATATATTTATATATATATAATAACATGTAGAATATATAAAATTTTTTATTGCATTAGTTTTTTCCCAATTTTATTTCAAACAAATGCATGAACAAGCAAAACTCTTATACTTATATGATACTTATTACTGTCATATAGGTATTTATTTTTGATGTTTTCAGACTTGATTATTTTTATTGTTAGTAGTCAGAGACTTGTCCTTTGTATGATTGTTGGCAAATTTGAATAAATGGTATTTTTTATGTGTTAATTTTCTTTTTTATCAGTGATTTTAAATTTTTTTTTTTTTTAGCATCTGCACCTGCTCCCAAAGAAGGTGATCCTGGGTACAAAGACTGGGTTTTCATTAATTATACATTTCGCAGGTTCGAAAGTATCCTAACCCAGATTGGTGTTAAACAGAGCAAGCGATAAGGAACTGGCCATTGAGGAAGAGACCAATTGTCTATGAACTTGAGAACCCTTGTCTTTCAAATGAATTGCACTTATTCAGGGCCCCCAACAGGGAAATTTTATCACCAATAAAAAAATGCATTGCTTGAAAATATATAGTGGGCTGACTGTGTATTATAAAATGAAGTATTTTTGAAAACTTGTGAAGCGAAAATAGCTCTTTGTAGGGATGCCAATCAATGCTTATTTTCTGTAGTTATTTCAGATTTGAATGCATTAACTGTAGGTTTATAGTTGTTTGAAAATTTCAGTGCTTGTAGGTTATTTGTGACTTTTGAATAAACCTTATTTAAAAAAAAAAATTATTTTTAGTGAAAATGGATTTCAATTTCTTAGTTTTGCTTCATTATATTTCATCTTTTTCTTTATTTTTAATATTATTTTTTTTAAAGAAGTCTTTCACATATCTCCATGAATTTATAGATAGGTTTCTTTGATCTTGGAAGTTGTTTTAAAATATTAAAATGGTATAAGTCTACTTTGCCTCTTTTGTGTAATATGTATACATAATTATAAATAAAGATAAGAAATATTTATTGACAATTACTTTTCCGGATGATTTCTAGCTTGTTTCAAATAAAACTCATAAATGATATTTAAGTTTCATCTGATTGCATCAGTCTTCTGCTGTCAATGATTTTTTAGTATTTTCCTTTAAATATCTGTTCTGGTGTCAGCACATTTTATATTTTAGTTCACTTCAAGTTGATAAAACTAAATAGCCAATTGAACTTCCTATTACATTAGAAATGTTTTCCTCTTGATAATTACATAAAATTTTCAATCGTTCTAGTTTATAGGCCCGACCTGGAGCAAAGTCAAATTAAAATTTCTGTGCTGTGCATATTTTTCCCATTAAATCACATGGGAAAAAACTTCTTTTTATGCGATTAAGTAAGTGGCCAACTTAAATTTAGGAAAGAGCTAGACTAACAACACTGGAGGGTTACTATAGCTAAGTGTTAATACTTTGACCACATTTAAGTATGTTTTTCTTTTTAAAATTATGCTTTTTCTTCGAATTTATTTCAATGTTTCTTATTACATTAAAAAATACCTGCAGTTAATAATTGTTTTATAGTTTGCATTAAAATTATCTATTTTACTTAATAGCTGTTGGAGGAAAAAAAAAATTTCTTCTTAACTACAGAAAAATATCTACAAATTGGCATCCCTAACTGTGAGTTTTGATTAGACCAGCCCAAAATTATTTTGGGTGATTGCCTCCTATTATAAAAGCATTAGTAGAATCGCACAAGTGGTTAGTTTTCATGCTCTCACCGCAATGGTTGTGTTTATTATAAAGATCTGTGAAGACAGAATAATAAGAATTGTAAAGAAGGGGAAAAATATTATAAAGATCTGTGAGGTCATGTTTTTATGACTGTGTAAATGTAGATTTGTATATTTACTTATATATTTGCTGCTTAATAAATGAATAGCTTGTATTGGGTCTGGGAAAGATGTACCTCCAAGTCTGGAGTAGGCCAAATTGCAGACCATCTGTGAAAGTTAGTGTTTTGCTATTTCTGTCTGGTTGTAAGCTGTAAATAAAGGTTTTATGTTTTGTTAGTGGAAGGAAGCAATGGTGTGTATCTCTTGATGTAGTAATTTATAGATTAATTTAATTAGTTAAGTTAGTAAATTATATCTATTGCTATTTTTTTCTTTTATGTTCAAGAACTATGCATAATGTTAACAAATCTCAGTAGGTCTTTGTGATGTGGTTAGGAAACAGAATATTAGAAGAAGGCAACATTAAAATCACATATAATGCATTAAAAATTAGGATGGGTTTAAATTCATTGCAAACTGGTGAAAACAGGAAAGAACCATAATACATCATGCAAGTCAGCAGTTATGCCATCTGGTGAGAAAACATAAAATTAAAAATAAATTTTTTTTCCTAATGTTCCATAAGTGTGGAAAACAGTTTCAGTCTTTGCTGATATATTTTCATATTTCGTTACATGAAAGGCTTCCCAGAATTCTAAGTCGATACATGATTTGCATTTTTTTAAAAATATGTAAAGGGAAACCAAAACTATGATTTTTAGTCTAGCAGTGTTGTGTGAAGGAAAAACATTGGATTCTTAAAATAATTTTTTTTTGTTGCTTTTTTGAAGAAAATTTGAAAAAATGCTTTGCTATGTGTGTTATAGTCCGCGTTCGCAGTATATTTTCCATGTGATATAGTTGCACTTTCCTGCATCAAAACACATTCAAGTTTTTAATAACTTATTTGTGATTTTAGCATAGTTCTCATTTAAAATTCTATTTCCTATGTATAATTAAAAGAGCACATGCTAAGAAAATGATGTTTCCAAGATGTCTTATTTTAATTCGAAATGCCTTACGAATAATTACGCCTTTCATTTATCTCCGCTATTTCATATAATATTATATTCTACAATATTTTATGATATTCTTTATACTCTATTCATCCCCTCTATTTGAATATCTCTTGACTTTTATGATTGAGAAATTTGCATATCTGGTTTTACATAGTGGAAAATGTAGAAGTAAATTTTGATGTGGGGGAAATTGTTGGGGTACATCAAATGTAAAATTTTAAAATGACTCTTTTAAAAAAAAGTTATCAATGCTTCACATATAAAGTTGCAATTTTTAGTATTTCAAATTTTGTCATGATTGTATTTTTAAGGTTTATTTATTTTATTGTAAAAAAAGGAATTTTTCATTTTTTTTCCTGTTAAGTTAACAAACACTTGTGTAATAAATATTGTAGAACGTTTCATATTTACCAAATTTTTTAAAAATTATATTTTATTTAAATAATAGATGTAGAATTAAGTTAATAGAGATTACGATATTCAAATCAAATAGGACTGTTTAATTTTGTGCATTTCTTATGCATTCAAATTATGATATAAAGGACTTTTATTTTGTCTGAAACTTATATTTTAATTTAAGATACAAAAACCTAAAAACATGCTTATTTTTATATTTCTTTTATTTTTATCAAACATATGGTCTGACTTGTATTATTGCAAAATATTGTAGATCAGCCCATGTTTTAATATTTACTGTTACTGTAGAACAATTCATGTGTTAATAATTTTTTTAAATTAATATTTTATTTAGATAATAGATGCAAAATTAATTAAACAATAATTGAGATATTCAGAACATTTAGAAAAGTAGTTTAATTTTTTGCATTTTCTATGCATTTAATTTATGATATAAAAGACTTATAAGTATTCTATTATCATGTAATATGTATTTCCTCCATTACCCCCACATTATTACTATCAACTTAATAATTTAATATCTGAAATGTGTGCCTAATATTTGTAATGTAGCTTTTACTTTTATCAAATCTTTTTGTATAAAAAGCAGAATTTAGTCGAGCTTTTTTGATGAATTTCAACTTTGATATACTGGAAGTATTTTTACATAAATAAGTAAGTATTCAACAGAATTCTTATTGAGTGAAGTAATGAATAATACTTAATAATTTATAGGATATAGCATTTTCTAATCTTTAATAATACCCCCCACTAAATTTTTAATTGCTTCTATTGTAAATATCTATATCTTTGATTTTTTTAAAACTTGATCATTAATTAGTATGTTACTTTTAACCTTTGCTGATTAAGAAAAATTATCAATACATTGTAATTCTCGTTGGATAGTTTGCTACAGTTTAATCTTTTCAGATTTATGCTTTATTTTTATTCTCTTATAATTAAATTCTTCTTACAAAGAAATAAAGCATAGTTTCTTGAAATGGTTCCTGTCTTTATTAAAGGTTATAGTTTTTTTTTTCTACTTTTTTTTCACAGTTATGAACCATTTTGATGTAATAGTGCTGTTAGTATTTGTATCCGTATTATACCTTAAATCCTTATCATTGAATCCTTATTATACTTAAGTGGATGCTTATCAAAATGTTTTTTTTTAAAGTTTATATGCATCATAAAATTAAAATTAGTATTGGATACATACATGGTTATCTGACTTTAATTTTTATTCTTAAATTTATAAATATTCATTGATTTTTTATTTCATTCATACATATAATTTTATAAATGTTTGTTCATAAAATGATCAATTTATTTTAATTTTTTGTAAATTCATGTTATTTTTTTATTTATACTTGTTAATCATTTTGTTGTTAGCGTTGTGAAATGTGTGGGATATATACCGGTGAATATAATAATGTCCTGTTAAATTTTTTTTTCAAGTAAATTTTTTAAATTGTTAATAACATTGCGAGTTGCCAAGTATTTTAAATATTTACTTGGCATTCTCATTTATTAATTTCATTTAAAAATTTTGTTTTATGACTCTTGAGTTTATAATGTGCCAGTCTAGACTCATGGTAAATTTGAATTGAAAAATGTGTTTTTTTTTCTTCTTTGGGGAGAGAGAAATGATTTTTACAAAGTCCGAACTACTGCTTTGGCACGAGTAAAACATTAATATGGTTTGTATTAGAATAGTTATTATTTTACAAAAAAGACCAATTCATATTGCAGTTAGAGTGAACAAATGAAATCTTATTCCTCATTTAGATTGCTTGAAAATTCTAGACTGGTTTTGGGAAGAAAAAGTTTTGTATCTCATATATATGAGGGNTTCATGTTATTTTTTTATTTATACTTGTTAATCATTTTGTTGTTAGCGTTGTGAAATGTGTGGGATATATACCGGTGAATATAATAATGTCCTGTTAAATTTTTTTTTCAAGTAAATTTTTTAAATTGTTAATAACATTGCGAGTTGCCAAGTATTTTAAATATTTATTTGGCTTTCTCATTTATTAATTTCATTTAAAAATTTTGTTTTATGACTCTTGAGTTTATTCTTGTACCAGTAATGTGCCAGTCTAGACTCATAGAAAATTTGAATTGAAAAATGTTTTTTTTTCTTCTTTCCTTTCTGCTTTGGGGAGAGAGAGAAATGATTTTCACAAAGTCTGAACTACTGCTTTGGCACGAGTAAAACATTAATATGGTTTGCATTAGAATAGTTATTATTTTACAAAAAAGACCAATTCATATTGCAGTTACAGTGAAGAAATGAAATCTTATTCCTCATTTAGATTGCTTGAAAATTCTAGACTGGTTTTGGGATGAAAAAGTTTTGTATCTCATATATATGAGGATGTTTAAGTGGATTTTTTTTACAAAATGTAGACAAGTTAATCATAATGATTGTATATTGAGTAAAAATGAAATAGTACTTCTACATTAAGATAATGTAAATGTAGCTAAATTAGGCCTGTATTAAAATGGGACAGAATTAAATGATATAGTATTTAACGGGAGTTAAAAAAGGCATATTTTGTCATCGCTTGCATTTCTTTGTTAGTTTTCTAAATAAATAAATCTACTTAATAATTCAGTATTTGCAAATTTAAAACTAAAATCTTTTTGTGTTACACTTAATTAGAAATTGCATTAAGATGAATATTCCTCTTTTAAAATGATTGTAAGAAAAAAAAAACCTTTTGTTCTTTTATTGCTGATTTATGAGCTTTTTTCATAATGGTTTTGTCAGGTTTTTTTTTTTTATCCGCTTTTCTTTTGGCTTTGTGATATTATTAGTGAGAGTAAAATTATGTAGCATTCCATCTAAACAGAACTAATTTCTTATAAAATACTCAGTAACTTAATACATTTTAATGTTTAATTGTAAACTTTGTTTGTGTTATCTTTTTTAAAATTTTTCATAATGAATGTGCAATCTAATTATAATTTATTGTAACTAACCTTTTTCTTTTCTTCCTAAATTAACTACTTTTTCTAAATGCTAAAAATATTTCTTTCATTATATCTTGTATGCATTTTTTTAGTTTTTATGTTTGTTTCGTTCTGACGAATATTTCTCATATTGTATCCCGCAGTTTTGTTTGATGGTAGTAAGGTTAAACCATCAATTTAGTTTTTTTTTTTCTTCATTTGTGTAGTTGTTGTTTTTCTAATTTTGTGCTTTTGATATTTTCTGCAACATAAATAATATATGCAAAAACGACAATCTCAATTTCTCCCCCTAGAACAGTAGTCCAACTCTTGTACGGATAGGTGATATTAAATGATTCTTGGGTTGTATATGTAGTTTGTTTATACATGTGTGGAGAGTAGCATAATCAAACTAATACATATTTATTTATTCTTTTTATTCATTTTTTTTCTTATGTTTTCAATTTGTAGAAATCATGAATTGAAAAAAAAAAACAAAAAAAAAATTGTGACGGCAGCCATTTTAAATTTTCTAAATAAAATTTGGAAATGTTGTAAATTTCTTTTTAAAAACGATTATCTAAAACTTTATTGATAGCATTTCTTGTTAAGTTTATCAGCATAGTATGTATTGGTTTGGTTTAAAGTATGCACACATATGCAATATATTGTAAATTGTGTGTCAAATGACAATGTAATGTGCGGAATGAATCGTTTGCATTGCATAAATAAATAAATAAAAAATTTTATTTTGTGTCTGAGTTCAATGTACTTATGTGTATTTGTGTTAGATATTTATTAAAAATTCTATAACATTTTATTGTATCTGACTTTTAATCATTTGTTATTGTACCAGTTATGCAAAATATTAGATATATTTATTTATTTATTTCGAAGAATTTTGAAACAGGAGCAAAAAATAAAAAATGACGTCATGGTCTAATTTAGATGAATATTTTCAAAAGTTGTCAATGGAACTAAAAACTTTCTGTTATTTTTCAATAACCGAAAGTTTTTAGTTTTTATACAAATTAAAAATAATAATAATTAAAATAGTAAGTAAAAAAAATAAAACAATAAAAATGAATGAAAATTAATTATAGGATAATATGAGAAATTGATAATTTAATTACTAAACAAATTAAACTTTTTTTTTTAATCAAAGAGTTATTGATACTGATATTTTTTCATACTGTTCAAAAGTAACTAACAATACTAGAGCACAAGATGAAACTTCTGACCATCGGCTTGTTGGTGACAATCTAGAATGGTATCAAACTGATCCAATTATTTTGTAGGTGAAAATAGGT